ATTTGCTTTCGAGTAATCGTTATATGCGAACTCTTCGAACAAAACGTTTCAGTATCATAAACTCAACAGTGTTTGAATGGAGCTTCATCAATATAAGCATCAGAGTGTTCGGATTCGAGGCAAAACATTTCTAACGCAACCTGAATCGGAATCTGGTTTTGCAGACGCCTGCTTAAAATGGACAACTGTATGAGCCTTGTGAACGCTGCATTATTTGAAGTGATTGTTTTTCTGGCCGAATGAAGCGTTGATAGGTGTGTTTGCTGAAGTGAAACTAATGGCAATATGACAACGATGATTAAGAGGACATTCCATTCATGCAGACTATTTTTTCGGCGATGCTTTATTTTATTCGATTCGTTAAAATTTCATGAAGTGAAAATAATCTGGCAGTATGAAATCGATGACTAAGAGCACATTCGACTCATACAGACCATTCTTTCGGTGATGTTTTTTTCGTTGAAGTTTCATCAAATAGGAACGTCCGTTAACAATCGCACGAAACACTCATGCCAACAAACACAACGAGTCAAACAATAACTTCAGATGACTAAAAGAATCATCAACTGAAAGAATGTTTTTTCGTTTCGGTTCTAATATTTCAATAGCTGTTGCTAATCTGAAATGAATGTTGGCACCAAACACCATTGCTGGCCATTCCAAATAAGAAAATGCTCAAATAAATCCAATTTCCAGCAAAAGCTCTCAAAGATTCGAACAATCACGTCAAATAGTTGTTGTCTGAGACTATCTATCGATCGATACAATCGAATAATCAAGTATAATTGTACACTTACTCTAATGGGAAAGTGTTGACCAGTAAATGATCAGAAGCAAATCATTTTTTCAATAATATATTTTAAAAAACGATGTTAATCCCTCCCTTCCAATGCATTTATGAGAATCGCTCTAAATTTGCATATTCCAATTATTATACAAACTATTTCAGATGAACTTCAGCCATTCTAAAAGCCCAACTATGAGCGCAACATCATTTTTGGGTGACTGTTAAAATAATTTTGGTACCTACAATGAAAAGTGGTGGATTATTAACGGAATGGGAATGTTGCAAAAACTATTTTAAAATCTAAAAGAACTGAAGTATTTGCACAGCTGTAACAGAGAAAGATTGTCGCATATAAAATATGAGATGAATGATAATGATATTCAGTGTGATCATAAAATCTTATACTCGACTGATAATGTCACCGCTATCCGCATTCATTCTCCTCGCAACAGTTCTTTTGATCTACCCTAGAGCATCGTGCGCTAGCGATTGTAAGTTAGTCAGCTTCACACTTCTTAAGTTGTCACTTTTAATAATCACCGAGAAATTCACAGTGTTACGAATGGCAGCAAACGTACTAACGAGGAGTGCATAAAGCCAATCACGAAGAGAATTCGACTCTATAATATGCAAATGTTGAACACTTATTCGATCATTGTGAAATATCATATCTCAAAGCTATTATCATCGAAAACAACAAAAAGCAATTGTGTTTCTTTAACCGAATGATTAATATTCTTTCAGCTAACAAAACAACGTCAACCACGACGACTGCTAAGAAATCGGAATCAACACCCACATCTTCGACATCTAAAAACCCCGAAAAATCGTCGAAAGCGCCAACCTCAAAGACTTCAGTTTCTACATCCCCTAAATCCACATCACCATCCACATCCCCCAAATCCACATCACCATCCACATCCCCCAAATCCACATCACCATCCACATCCCCTAAATCCACATCACCATCCACATCCCCCAAATCCACATCACCATCCACATCCCCTAAATCCACATCACCATCCAAATCCTCTAAATCTACACCTTCACTATCCCCATCCCCAACAACCTCTCCACCAGGTACCTAAATGTACTAATTAGTGATCAATCAGCAGTATAATCGCCACATTCAGCAACATCGAACGCAATGAAACTTTCCCAAGTAAACTGCTGCCTTGAGTGCAATGACAGAAGAACATCAGTATGAACTAGCTGTACTGCCATCATCTCAGTACTGCATGAATTCATGATGTGAGAAAAGATAGGGAAATGAGCATTTGTTGCGATTGGTATCACTAATTGCGACTGATAGCTTCAGGTGGTTGCGTTGATGTGGCCACAAACTGTGAGCAGCTCAAACCAAAGTGCGAAGATCCTGCTTACAAAGAATTGATGGAAAAAGAGTGCAGGAAAACTTGCGGTTTGTGTGGTAGTGGTATGTGCGAGCATTGTCATTTTCATTCATTCATTGGAACATTTACGTGACTCGTGTCAGCCAGCAAATTAGTTGGTTCTTATAAAGAGGAAAAAACTATTCTTTCGAATGAACAATTCCAATCAGTTCAGTAAAAGAATTGCAGCCGGTTGTGAGGATATTGCGACGAATTGTAAAGAACTGAAGGATATGTGCAACAACGACATGTACAAGGATCTCATGCAACAAAACTGCAAAAGAACTTGCCATTTGTGTATGGTGGTCATTTAGTTTGATGTTGAGTCTACAGTTTAGAAAGTGATGATGAATTGTTATTCTGTATAACAGTTTTATACTCCTCTTCAAATTTAGAAATGCTCATACTGAAATGATCCATTAATGATCAAATATCTATCATCACATCAGCGTTGGGCTTATAGGTGAATGCAAGGACGTTGCACTGAATTGTGATCAACTTAAGGGCAAATGCAACGACGATCTTTATAAGCATGAAATGTCGCAAGTATGCAAGAAAACGTGCAACTTATGCGCTTCTGGTTCAGGTGAGCTGTTTTGATGATAAATATTAGCTCATCCGAATACGAGCTTGGGCAAATAGCTACTGGTGTATTGTTCAAAGTCAGTGACTTTTCATACTAATCGACTTTGCAATTGATCGTTTCTTAGGCAAAAGCGAAATTCAGAACTGATACTGTTTGAGGATAAGTTATCCCAAAAAAATTGTTTATTTTCACAGGAGGTTGCCAAGACATTGCAACGAATTGTGCACAACTGTCGAGTTTGTGCAACAACGATATCTATCAAGCACTCATGAGTAAAAACTGTGCTAAGACTTGTTCGAAATGCTGAACAGATCTGGCCTCAACGGTCATAATATTCGATTTCTAATGGTATTGATGTCATCGCATAATTTCATTTCGATAAAATAATATCCGAAGATGAATATAATCTTCTCGTGAATATAACAGCACTCAACTGATGCCTCTTGAAGCGTTCACTAAACCCACATCTGTTAACGGTCACAAATCTGTTCCTTATTGATGAGAATACCGCCTTCGGATATGTTCTCGATGTAAGAAACATGCTAAAACTCATCACTGAATAATTCTCACTTCTGACGATTCAGGTAAACAACAAAACTCAGAAACGACATTTATTGAACAGATGATATGCATTCGCACTTGGGTTTCTTAGAACAACGAAACATGATTCGATATTTACAAAGTGAAGTTGTTATGAATTAGATAATAATGAATATGACAAACGAACACAGCGACGGTTGGTTGGTTGGTTGAGAAGGAGTGATTTATCGAAAGAGTTGCGTGATAATCAAATCAAAGTGAAAAGCACAAGTGGAATCGTCACTGTATGTTTTTTACGATCCCAAAAACGACTGAATACGAAACGAACGCATTCAAACGATAAGCAATTCCAAAACTTAAACATAACCTTGATGCATTCAACAGAAATGATGTGAAAGAACAAGAATCTATCCTCTCAAAGAATCTAACTAGAATAAACAGAAACAGGATGGACATTCGTCAATTACCAATCGAAAAAATTCCCGCTGACCATTCATTCGTTGGCATTGCTCACGAGAAACTGAACACGAAAGGAAAGGAAGCTGAATATGGAGAGATAGCGATTAGACAAACCTATAACTGGCATGAAGGGGCAAAGCACATACAACGGTAACGAAGTAGGACAGTTTGATATCATGGCGTAGATTCTTGGAACTCCAGGTACCCAGCCTCTTTCATAACTTGAAACCCTCACACCTAACGGATTCTCCCAACAAAAAATATTTCATCGAGATCACCAAGGTTATACATCGAAAAAGATTACAGTCGTATATTGTTCTACAATACTGGCTAAATCTGAACTTGTCTTCTTTACTGGTAAATTTTCAACTGGAATCCGCATGAGCTCAACTCAGTGAAATGCGATTTTCACATGCCAAAAAGCCATATTCCAACTGTTGACTGGGCGATTGGGTGGATGCAATGTCAGTGAAATCAGAAAGGTAATAAATACACAGCGCTGCTGAAATGAATAATGAAGACGCACTGAAGTCAATCAAATTATCACATATGATGCAAATTAAACAACTTCACCTCTGTTCGCATCAAAGTGTGAAAATTTTCAACAATCTCATTTTTCAAATCAATTACATTCCAGCCTTTCAAAGCGGCATTTTCCCCTAAAAGAATTTTCGACGAAACCTCAAAAAATGAACGCAAATTTGCTGAACTCCCCTCCGTAGCAATGCGATCAGAAGTCAAGCGCTATGGTAGTTGACAAAATCGGATAAAAATTATTCGGAAAAATTTGCACACCGAAAGCTGGCAACAAGAATCAACTGAAACTGATATCGTCGATACGATGACAGATGATACCTAGTTGTTCAGTGATGATAGTCGTTGACGAACAAAACAAACACAACAGAGAACTATATCAGAGATGAATATGAATAATGCTCGATTTATTAACATAAAGATGAATTTTACAACAAAAATCATAAACGAACAACCGGATGATTGAATAGGACACAAATACACAGCGCTGCTGAACGTATACATACATTCTTCACACACACACACACACACACACAAAACGTATCAAAATAATGACTTAGAGCAGTCATGAGAAGAGTGCATTATGGAACAGTTCAAATCAGCATATTACGGAATGGTCAAGTGAGACAATTTGCTGAAAATAAACTAAATAATGGAATAAGATGTCAAGAACGCAGTTACTGCTGAAAACTCATTGATAAAATCAAAGTGATGTAAACGTAAGACTTCGACACGGACTTTGTTCGAGTGCTGATTTCAGCAGGGAATTATTGTTGATTGCACTGTTCACGGTATCGTATGCACACGTACCATTATGACTATAAGTCATCGGCGACGGAGACAATGGTGAAAGAAGTACTGTTCTATACCAGGTATCTTTTTCAGATTTCGGTGAATGGTGAGTAAACGACGTGAACGACGGAGAAACACACTGAAAATATCTGAGTTTATTAACTGAAAACATGTTCATAAGCTGATAATTCACTAAAATCAAATATTCCCATTACAGTATTCTTTTAGCCAATCAAACCAAAAGGCTGAATAAAACTAAATCATTGTCACAATTCTTCTTCTCGCACCGTTACGAATGAGACTTTGCTAGGATCGATCACCTGATTGATTTGCGGAAACGTGGTTGTTGTTGTTGTTGCTGATAACGAAGAGGATTCTGAGGGTTCAGATTTAACTGGTTGAGTGTTCGAGTGTTGGATGTTGGTAATGTTACTGAGCGATGATGATGTTAGCGGTGTTGAGTGGTTTTTCACAGGGGTCATATAGGACGAGAGTCGAGAGGAGTGATTCTCAAGCAGATTCTGCAAATTCTTCGCAGCCACCTCACGCACCGTGCACCCTTCAGGTATCATCAGTGTACCGCCTTGAGGCACGCTGATCGATCGAACTCGTTCGCGACGTGCTGCCTCACCACACGGTTTCATCGTATCTGATTCCTAAAAACGCCTATGAATCACCCAGGAAATTGAAACTATCGTAACTGGGAATATCGAAATGGCACAATTGCTTACTTCCGCTCAATTTCATCCCAACATTACAATCATTCAACTCAGCATTACACCATAATCATTCGGCGTCAATACTTTCCAATAAATAAAATGATATCTATATACCTCTTCAAACTGACTTGTAGTTGGCAGTGTACGATCCAAATCGTGCATTTTCGCTTGTTTCAACGGAGGCTGTTGGGCTAATCGCTCATAACCCGTTTGTTCCTAAAAGCACAACACTTGCTGACGGATTTCATTCACCAATGATTACTTTACTTTCTTCAGAGGATTTAAATTTACACGTTGAATAGTCTCATAGACTAATTTGGATTGATCACGTTCAAATAATAAAGCGATTTAAGTTGAGAATGAAACGAACGAATTTGATTGAATGAGTGAGAATTGGAATATGTGCAAAAACAAACCGAAAACGACAACGACTGCTGGTGTTGTTGATATTGCAACTGATCAGTGGGTCGCGGATAAATTGGACGATTCGAGCGAAGCATCGTGTTGTTGCGATAATCATCGCTATATTTACTCTGTTTACTCCTTATTGGAATTCCTTTACGACCTTGTTCTATCGCTTCCAAATCATCTTCAAATCAACTTTTCAAAGATTGAGATTCTTTGTGAAATGCATACATGTGTGCAGCATGTGCACAGTGTACAACTGAAAACGCATTTGCTTTACGGAGATCTTTTCATCCTATTAGCAAATCCTTGGCATTTGCTTTTCCTGACGGATTATAGATGTTGTCTTCTGGCTGGCCTAGCAACAGTGCCTGTGCGACCCTCTACTCTGTGATCCAGCTCTCAGTGTTCGATCATGAATATTATCACCGTTGATAAGGGAACGTTCATAGCGTTCAGTTGGAAATGATCAACTGCTAAATTTTTTTACTTTCAAAAGCTCCAATAGAATCCCTCATTCTCAAAAGAAGAGAAATAATACTATTATCACTATTAATCGTGAGTCTTTTTTTTTCAAATACAATGTTAGACATTTGATTATCAGGGACAACGATCAACTCGCCAAACATTACTATGTGAAAAAAGAAACGATAAATCATCAGGAGAAACCATCTCATTTTTGAAAATATTCCTCCTCCATTCGGAGTGACGTTTTGCAATGAATTAGAGTCAAAGAATTGATGAAGATGATGATGAGTTGAACGAAAATTATCGTCAAAAACAAAAAAGAGCATGTACTTCGCAGCAATAACAAGCATCGAACAATTGTTGTCTCACTCATTTCAGTGATCTATTTTGGCGGCAATCGAACGACTGCTGACACTTACTTATCAATAAATCACAAACAACATCAGCCAAAAGCTCAACTCATTTGAAGTTTCGAGGATGCCCTTTTCTTCAGCCGCATTCCATCACAATAACATACAAACACATAATTTTTTATGGCAAACATTTTACTTTGAAGATAGTCAGATCGAATTCACTTCTTTTGAATCAACTCATTGTATAAGATGATTTTGATATGATAACGATAAAACAAATGACAAAAATCTTATGAAATCACTTTTGCCTAATCCCCTATTGTCACGATCGACATTTCGTAATTTTTTTGTAATCGATGATATGTCATTATAAAAATTTGCTGAATACATCAACGATGACAACTAAAATATTAATAATGATAGGAAAAGATATCAACAATAAATATTCATTACCTGGACATAAAAGTGCTTCTTTAATATTGTTAATATCACGTTCTCGCCATTTTCGTACCTCTTGATTCATTTTTTCGATCTTGGCAGGATTCAAAGACCAAAGGCATGACTTACGACCCTGACCATCAGGCCGATATAACTCGATCTTTTGAAAACATTTATTCAGCGACAAATTATGTCGTACTGAATTCTTCCAACCGGGTGGTGCTGTTCGGAAATACGGGAAATTCTCACTGAAAAGGTTTCGAAATTATTCATCAGCTCCGTCTCAAAAAAATTTCAAACCAAAACCAGTAGTCACAAAACCTGTCAAGTGCACGCATTAAACGGCTTCACAGAATTAAATATATTGCAAATAATCCTGCTTCGACAGGAACTGATACCGCATCAATGAGCTCAAACACGAACCACATGAAATCGTATATTTCAGATACTGTCAACTGTCCATTCTGACTGTTTTTCAGTGCTAACGCCACTAAGCACGAATATGAATACGATGGTTTCATCCAACGGCTGTTCCGAGGTGCTGATGTATAAATGTTACTGCTGTTCTTTCGCTGATAAACGACGTTATTCGTGATTCTATTTGACGTTGTCGATGGAATATTTTCACGCATCGATATTGATGAATTATACGCATCGTCGTCTTCTGCTAAATGCTCCTCTTTGGCCATCTGAACAACGAATGAATAACTCGTTTTTCGACTCAGCAAAATTATCAACAAACACAAAGGCAAGTTCACCTCGTCATAAATAGATTAATATTTGAGTGGTATGAATCAACTGAGGATGGCAATGAATTTGGAATTTTCATCAGAACTTGATTTTACAATCATAGAATTTGTTTGTAACAAATAGTCTTTTGACATTCTATAATTTTTGATAGCTTTGATTTGCATCAGTCACATACACACTTCTGGTTGCATGATGAGGCAAACGATTTCTACATATATGAGGCAACAAGGGCTATAAGCAGAACTCTGTTGATTTTTAGTGTGATTGAATAATGGCGAGTGAAACAAGTTATAAAGTGTGCACCGGAAATGTTCACTAGACCGAATGAGTCGGAGTGCTAAGTGAAGATCCGAGTGATAATCTTTATAAGATATGGATGAATTCTGAATTTGCTTTGAGGAGAATCAAGTACAACAAGAATCGAATGCAATATCTTCGTTCACGAATCGGAAATGAGAAATTACTTGTGACGGAAATAAATCTTGTTGAATATCTTTAAACTGAGTCACGTCAATTTTGTGCATCCAATTCGTATCGGATGCATCGAACTGATTCAAATCGCTATCGTCTGCGATTAAGTCACCAATATCCTCGCATAATGGATACGCTTGATCCTCATCTCGATCATCCTCAGCTTTCATAAACGATGTTTTACGATGACTTAGAGCGGTTGGTGAATCTTGATTGTTGTTGTTGGCACTTCAAGCGATCAAAATTATCAACAAAAAAACATTATCAAAAAATTTCAGTATTCGCTGGATAAGGAAATTTCGAAATTTGATTCTGAGCATAATTCGATGTTTGTGTTAGTATTTATCGCTATAATACTTTATCGATCTAAACTGTATTCAGTCCGTCTGATACGGACTTGTTTAGGAAACATTCGGCAGTTTTTGTACGTAATGGTTCTGGCTTAATGAACGCTGATATTAACGATGTCCATATCAATAACAGCCAGTAACGCTATCATCATCACTACAGTTACGGTGATAACANAGTTGATTCAGAATTACTCAACGATCTGCGAGGTGTACTTGTCGTTCCTTTAGAATCAACGTAAACCAATCCAAAATTGCTGCTTCTTATCATTGTTTCACAGTTGCTCAACGCGATTCAATGTCAAGACATTAATATGCAACACTGCAATCATATGCACACCAACCGACTTTGTAACAACGATCTGCAATCAACATTCTAATAACACAAACTGATTATTCACTAAATAAAACAGCCGAATGTGCGTTTGCATATTCTTATAACTTTCGTGAAACTCAGTGTTCTTCACATCTTCATATCTATTTAACAATGAGCATTGCTCATATCCATAACTGCGCGGTCATAAATACGAAACATATACAGAGGAAAAATAATATGATAAGAATAAAATAACAATAAAGATAAGAGTAATAACAATATCAGCAATCAACAGATGAGCAGCAGATTGTTACGATTAACGATTGGAATATCAAACGAGATGAACACTCAAAGACTTATTCCGTGGCAATCCAGATCAACAATACCCTAAGAAATCATTCGATTATGTCTACATGGGGCACGTTTTTTGTTGATAGCAATAAGAATGCACACGATGACAATAATGATTGGTAAATAGCTGCATAAAATGAACTACAAAATGTTCTATTACATTCACGATGAGATATGATCAATAGTAAGGGGTAAGATTGATTCGATGACCAGTGATTATTGCATCGCTTGTACTTGTAAAATCCAGTTCGATCTCACTGGTGAAACAAATCATTTGGTGACGAATGAAGTGCATATGCAATCCTCATGAACATTCGTAGCTTGAATTTATTAATAAACTGATGAAAATGAAATGTTTTTCAAACAAACTGAATTTTTTAAAGCTAACTGATAACTAATAGACTACGCAAACAGTTAATTGACAAACAGACAGGATAATGATAGCAAATATTCGAAAAAATACAGTATATAAATGGTTTGATTCAAAGTCAAGTCAAATGAACGATGAACTGAGAAGTGCAAGTCTGAAGCAAACGTTTCGAGTAGCTTTCATAAGGGGATAAGCACTTGAGCGATCAGATCTGTGAGCGTTTAAAGTAAGTCCATTGGATGAATCGTTGAAATGAACAATAACAGAAGCTGCTATCTCATTTGTTTATTCGCTTACTTGACAGTTGTCACATCATACGTTTAACCAGATTCTTTTAGCAATCATACGTATACCTATCCGAAGATCTATCGACGTGGACTAGCAAGCCGATTTGGCCGCGCCGAATAATGCGAGTGGAACGAGAAAAGTATAGGCATAATTTGTGTGATACATATCATATTCGCAATGATCTTTTGGGATATTGAATAAATAAATAATTTATGGTATGAATGACTGCACTGAACGCCTCTGAAGAATTCTCCAGAACTCTGAGAATCGTAACGTCTTCAACAATCCGAAAAACTAAAGTGAAAAGAGGATAACACTAGGCAGCTGGTAATAATCCAGAATATTAGTTTGGATTGTCCCAAGTTGATATGACCAATTTTCAAACGGATTTACCCTCACCTCATTCAAATCAAAGATTTTTTGGCCACACGCAAACTGCTTAAATGAAAGAGAATGAAAAGATATAATGTTTATTATGGCTAAACCAAGGCGGAATCCAAATATGTTTCAACCGGAATTCCGATTGGAACTGTCAGATTTTCCGACACCATTTGATACCAAATTTATTCAGACTGCACATGACATTGGCTTCATAGGCTAGACGGGCTTCGTCACACAGCATTCCGAATCAATATGTTCATTTGCTAGATGAATATCACATGAATTTAATGGTACATCAAGAATGTATGTCCCCAAATCAGTTTTGAGAATATCTTGACAGAAAAATGAACAAACGACACACAAATCTGCAGTAGAAACAGAGAAGAGTTGTAGAATTGATGACATGCAGACATTTGATTTATGGTGACAAACGATAGTGATTAATTATTGACTTGTATAAGGTAGAGCAAAAGTTAGGAATTATCTTGATGGTGGAGTTTGATGAAATTGAACGTTTCGAAGAGACCGGAGAGAATTCGAACAGACAGATCATTTCCAACGAAAATATTTTGATGAGGTTTGAATGCGGGAGTCAGGATGAAAATAATGGATGAATGATTTCGTCGAATCAAGTAAACGGATGTTTATTTATTCCAATGATCGATCAGAACAAAATGTTCAACTAAAAAACGTGAACAATTTCGTATGAATGATTCATTTCGACGCAAAACGAGCGAATCGTAAAATGTTGTAAAGCGAAACAATTAAAGCAAAAATCAAAAACATCAAACGAAACAATACGTTTATCAGTACGATAATATTCTAAAACTCTTTACGATACAAATCCTCATCACATACAAATCGTTCATATTCACACACTATCCGAAGTGTTGATCTTCACTCAATATTCATGACTGAACAATCAAATTCACGAACAACAAGTAAGTATCATCACTATCAAAGTGGTTCATCATAATCACTACCCGTTATTGCAACCAACTACCACATATCGCTGTCCTCAATCCGCATTCATTCATTTCAATCGCTCAAGCAAACCTCTACCAAAACTCAGTCATCTAAAAATCACGCATAAACCCATGTAAGTGTACACACCTACACATAACTAAACAACACATTAACGTAATTATTATTTCCCACAACCACTACAATTACAATCCTTCATTCCGTTCGATTCTATCCTATTTCGGTTGGCTAATGTCGCGTTTTTCAGTACAAACACATGCTGTTATTGATAGTTAGTTGTTGGCTGGGTTATCTGCGTACAGCACGCACAATGTTGATCGTATAACGAATTGATGTTTTCCCGCCAATAATTTTATAATCTCAACTGCAAAAACCTTTCTAACTGCCTGCACGTGCACTCCCAGTGACACTCTTCTATTTCGAATAACCCTCTTCATTCGATGTTTCCATACGCCCTCTTATCTTGCACCTCTTGAAATTAAGCACTGTCATTGCATTTGTGTGCATCTAGAAACCTTGCGATGGGAATTTCGGCATGACGGGGTAAACGGATACGTTAATGTGAACAGGCGATGAACCTGAGAGATTCACAACAGAGACGAGGACGAGAGCAGAGACAGAGGGAGAGGGAGAATTACGGAGCACCGAAATCTGCATTGGTACAGCGAAATAGATGTATGTATGGATGTGTTGTTGTAGATGAGTAGTAGATGGTTTGATTGCATGATAGTACGGTGCGGTGTGCATGGTAAAAGCATGAATAAATAAACAAATACACATGTAACATGTGCATGAATCAACGGATACAATCCAGTGATGTTCAGATGAACAGATCTGTTGGGAAGGTGATAGCTGGATGAATTTATGTCACTAAATACATTAATATAATAATTATTGACGTTATCTCTCAATTTTTGTCACCAGCACTCTAATTACAGTCTCAAAGAACGGTTGATATCTGTAGAGATCTGGACAGGCTGACGGTGGAATAAAACCTGATAAAAAGCAAACGAATCAAATAGGAAATGAAATGGATAATGCAGAAGCCATATAAATGAGAATTAACGCTGAGAGATATGCATTTTCGAACAATGATCGCGATAACGAGATTATTTATACACATTATTTTGGTCATTCGAGGTGTAATTATCACCATTATTATTATTTCTGTTTCTCTTCTTATTCATTTCATTGAAATCATTGTTGGCAAGGCTATAATCAGTGCAAATCAAAGAATTGAGTAATGTGGATATTAAAGTGGCCAAATCTTAAACAGGTTTCCGATCAAAAGGCACAAATCGGAGGCAAACTGAAAACAGACTGAAAAGGGCTTAAGAATGGTAATCACAGAAATGGAACTCATATTTCGATGAATCATGTCAATGAGGTGATAGTCATTTGAGAGTTTTTCTTTGCACATAGAAGGTAGCGAGTTAGCAGAAATTTGAAAAAGTAACTCGCTAAAACGCTTTAAAAAACAAAATAGAACAAGTTATCGCTACAAATTTCCATTATATAAAAATATGGCGGAAAACCGCGCAACCGATAGGAGCACTTCCGCCACCAGTATATTAACCAATAGCGTGCTACTGCTCACAAATGAATGATATCATTTACACAATTGCTCGTTTTTAAGTCAATGAAACTTCATGGAAGGGATTCTGTATTGGCCAAAAGGAGAGTCAAATGTGTTTCTGTCAGCGTAATCGTTTATAAGTTATCAGGTGGAATGATTCAGTTGCTCGCAACGGTTCGTTTCACTCAAGATAAAATTACTGAGATTCGCACTGATAATGTTCGAGCACCGAGGAAGTTAATAGCAAGGAACAGATATGTGATAGCAACAGATAAGCTAAGTATTTAAGAGGGTTTTGTTGAACAATGTGACCTAGAAATACACATGCCCATTTCGGTTATATGACCTTGACGAGATCAGTCCGATTCAACCATTATTCATGTAAATCAATGATCGCTATCATTTGCTCTGCTCTATGGCATATCCAGCTTAATTTGGCTGTACCTAACAAGCAAGTATGCAAAATTGCTCAACAATATATATATA